GTTCTCTCCTCTTCGTCCGCCGACAGTTACAACTTGGACATCACGTTCCGCTACAGATTACTCGCAAGTAGTGTTGTGAGTAACGTTCATTACATCAGTGGACATCAACATTGTTTTCTATGACAAGTCTAAAATACGTATTGTTTCGTGTTTAAATGTCATGATTTGATCAAATTTCAGACAATCATTTGAAGCTGAGTTGATGACCAGTATGCTTTTATTTGTTTGATTGATTCGAATAACCAGATTCAATCTGATTTTAAATTTTCGGAAATAGAAATACACTACTAGAATAAAGTCCTAGAAATAGTGACAAAGGGTTGATGACAACTGTATTCGTTAAAAAAAACTCTAATGTTAAATAAGCAAAACTCAGCACTCAATTGATATCTGACACTTCCAAAAATCAATGAGTAATATGTAACGGGTTCGAAAACACCAAACTTGATTTTGGTTACAGATAAATGAATTTAAATTGCCTAGGCACATTACCCTTATTGATTAAACATAAATAATTTCCTATAAACACATAGGTTAGTGAACTTTCCTAGGTGTAATTAAAAGCATGTGGTAGTAACTTAAAACAAAAATCATTTCTTAAACTATTCACATACATTCTATACATGTATATATCTATCCACGTACATTGATTCAAAGTACATAAGTTTCTTAAATCATATGACCAATCCATAGGCTAAATACCATATGAATTATGGTATACATATGCGACTGTACTATAGTACTTAAAATTACCATTAAAATTCCGAAATTTTTTTTTTGTGTTTATCACCTGTTTCCAAAATTAGTATGTAAAAATAACACCATAGCTATTCTGATTGAATATTTAGGACCTACGTAAGCAGACTAATAATAGTGCATAACATAAAGCTAATTAATTAATTAATTAGTTTCAAATGAAATCAATCTTAAGAACCAACGTACATTGTTTCCACTTAGAGAAAAGGTTAAAAGATCTCTAAGAGTACTTTCCATTAAAAATGAATATCAATTCAAGAAGCCATTAAAAATAAGAAAACAGTAAATATTTATTACTTACTTACTCTTCAGATAAATCACAGTAATATAGCGATAATAACCTATTCACCTGATACTTGGATATATACTAATGATACTACATGACTGTCTAAACTGAAATAGTTGAATCCGGGTTCACACTTGAGACTTGATGGCCGAATATACATAGTTATACGAAAAATTTATTAAATCAATGGAATGTATAAACATGTCAATGAAATAACTTTTTTCTTACTCTAAATGTTACTTTTGCCTTCATAAACATTCATGTAAGGCAAAAGCGATTTTTTAAATGACCAAATTAAGTTCATATGTCCGAACATTGATCTACCTCATATGTACGTAAAATAACTACTTTTCAAGTGTATAGCTGGTGTCAAATCATAATGATCATTTCTTTCAAAGTGAATAAAATCTCCATACAACCACCATAATTGTATAATTTACGGATAGAAAACCTTGTGATATTTGGCTGCATTGACTACAACGGTCGGCACAAAACTCTGAACTTAGGTTTCTTCCTAGTTGATACTCATCTGAAGCGCTTACCAGCAATTCTGAGGGAACTGACGCTGTCTATCGGATTCGAACGCAGGCCACCTACTTGACTGAGCTATTTGGACTGCGACTGACCTGCTACTAGACAGAGCTATTTAAAATAATTTATCACTGGGTAATAATCAATGTATATATCTGGACCCTAGTTACAGAATTGTATCGATCAAGCAATACTGGTTTGCTAGATTAATAAATACACGCATCTATGCATAAATGTATCGCTGTGAAAAACAAAATCAATCAAAGTAAACTTCTTTTGAATAAACTTTTACATTCTAGATGCTATATTTATTCTTAGAAAAACAAATTTATGAAACATGTCATATGACGTTTTTAAAAATGTGTTCTGTATATTGTAGGACTTCCTTCTTGCTTCTAACACAAGAAAAATTAATATACTTCTAGCAATGCATACGTAAGTGAAGAAATGATTTTAGAACTATTATGGTTGCCATAAGACTAACAACACCAGTTCATAAATCATTAGAGACAGAAACTAATAAATCAATGTTTTGTTTTAACGTCTTAATTCTAACTAAATCACATTGACACTTTTCTTTTCATCCCATACACAAGAAAACTTAATTTACTTACTCACTTACGCCTACTACTCCACGTGGAGGAGCATAGACCGCCCACTAGTACTCTCCATCCAACCCTGTCCGCCTGTAGTCCTTCTAGAGTTACTACCGGTCCCAAGAGGGGTAAAGGAGGAGGGTTGAGCATAGGGTCGGCAACCCCATCCTGTAGAAAAAAAAATTTGCTAAAAAAAACCCCAACCAGAAAACTTAATTCAATATACTTATATTTAACTACCTATTGCCAATGTTTTACTAAGGTTCAATTGACTGAAGCAGTTATAAGTCCTCATACAATATATATATATACATAAATAAATAAATAAATAAATAAATAAATAAATAAATATATATATATATATATATATATATATATATATATATATATATATATATATATAATCAAGTTAAATAAGGTTATCCAGTTTGGTAACTTTATAAATTAATAATAACTGAACATTAATGCTCATATAGGTATCATCACCAAGGTTTGACTTGATAATTTCGAATAAATTGAGCATTGAGTATATTGTTATAAATAAATTAATATATTTGTAATATCCCAATGAGCCGAAAAATTAGATTTTCTGACGTTTCGTGACTCAGTGTAAGCCATTTGTTCAGAGACTAGTGCTCATATATTCCAAGTTAGCTGAACATTTAATCTTTCCAAAACTAAACATTGATATTGGATGTAGATTCTCGCATATTTTGGATAGTAAACCAATGTGCTTTTAGGCTTAAACGAGTTAGTTGTGACAAAATACTACTTCTGACAGGTAGTGCTGCTATGTCCAAAAAAGGATGTGCTAGCATATCCATAACGAAATTCCATCTACTCAGTACTTCCGCGTGAACTGTAATACTCAATCAAGTACTTATGACCTTTCTGTTATTAACTAACTAATATCGCCTGGTAATCGAAATTTTGTGTTATTCTACATTACCGAAGCCAAATTCACTTCGTGATTTTCTGTATTTTTTACAGAGCTGTGTCCCAGCACCGAATATTAGTAATGCAAATCTACGATATTATCCAAGACCTTCAATTTTCACAGGTCCTCACTCAGGACAGTAATAGTCATTTGTTTTTTCTTGAAATCCATCGAATAATGCAGCCAGATCAGTTCTACTGCAAGAAACGAACGAGTAACATACATTTATTTACCTACCAAATGACCAGTTCTGCCGTCGCATTATATACGAGGCGATCAAACATTTCTAATGAAGAACTATAGATAGCATGTCAAGCGGATAAAACAAACAAGGTGTCTTGAAGTTATGTTCGCTGTTAATCCAATTAAAGGTTCATGGCTAAGGTGAAGAAGTCGAACACTTCACTTATCTTGGGAGTCTAATCAGCCTTAATCGGTTGGTGTCTGACGACATCTGCATGTATTCAGAAAGCTAGTTTATTTTTTGCCAACTTACGTCACTCATGGCGAAGACGAGGTATCCGCCCATCAACTAGACGAGCAGTATACTGAGAAACAGTTCGTTGTTTTACTTTACGGCTGTAAAACGTCACAATTAAGGGCAGCGGATACTCGTAAGTTAGTAGTATTTGACCACAAATTTCTTAGGAATATTGCCAGCATCTGCTGGGATCACCGGGTAGGCAATAGTGAGGTCAGACGCAGAGTATTAAATGAGGATGGTAAATCAGCTGAAGAGGTTGTGGATTTACATTGACTGGTATGTTTGGGCTACGTATTACGCATGCCCAACCATCGACTACCACAGCGCGCAATGCAAACTAGTGTTGGAGAAGGATGGAAGTTAAGGGTGGCCAAACCAAAACGTGGGACCAATCCATAAAGTTACTAACTTCTGGTCTGTGCAATGTTGTTAGATGCAGACTACCTGGTTGGGGTCTGCGTGATCATCGTAACCAATCGTTGGAGACTCTGGGTAACAGCTGAAAATCGATCACGACGATGGATGTATACGCCCTCTGTCACACCTTAAACCGCGAGATTAAAATTACTTCATACCTATCTTTCTACGAACAATTCCTTCTCCTGATATCTTATACGCAATCCTTTTTCCTTACATATCACCATCACTGAAGTAACTGCTTCAATGAATTTGGTGTTAATTTCATTGTGCTAATGGGGTATGACAACTTGGACCGCTGCATACATGCACCAGGTCCCATGTTGTACATGACTATCAGTTTGGGGATTTATTTTAATTCCATATCTCTAAACAAAATGAAACCTAGTCAATGGAGGATCACATAAGCAGCAGGATGTAGTAGCGTCTTCAAAGAATTTATTACATAATAAGCTCCCCTAAAAGAACTTCAGATCGCCGTACTTCTTACCAGTTTATACAAGCTTTTAAATTGTATCGCTGAGTGCTTACTACTGCTTTAGAAAGAATCACTAGCAGTGTAACTAGTAATTCAATATTCTAAACATAGTAAGACAGCCCAGTCCACAACAAACGACTGTGTTCGAAGGAGATTGTTCATCTCATAACTTAGTTCATTTGGCACGATAAAGGCAGAAATACTGATGTTAGTATAAGGGTTATTTGGAATCAGTCATTTACTTAAAATGTATAAGGACACTATGACTAATTAGTTGCAAAATTGACACAAGCAGAAAGTCGATCTAACTACAAATACCTCTTAAGATCTCCAAAACCATCTACGATGAGCAAGGCGCACACATACGAAAACGAACATTAATCCAACGTTCCAACCACCAAAAAATCGTTCGGATTCAAAATACAGTGGTCCCCTATGAATATGTATTCCCAATAATTGAAGACTTGATGAATTTCGATAACTGATGCCTAAAACATAGATTGAAAACATTTAAATCTTCATCACTTAATATATTACAACAAACTTTATGCTATGATAATGGATAGTGTACCAAACCTATGTAGACCTGTTTTAACATGAACATGACACGTAAGCCACCAATGATATTTTTTGACGAGCAAACTATAATTATTTTCTTTAGAATAAATTATTCAAGTGAAATACATGTTCATTAGTATTGACATAACATAAAAGATAATAAACAGAATTCTGCTTTGTGTAAACAGTCGCATATAATAATGTTATTGTTAAGGCATCTTCATAAAAGGTTAGAAGACAAACAGAGTCGTCAAGAAAAAGAACCCATAGGGTGATAATGTTTAGCCTTTTATTCCAGTTCACTAAGCATTTCTCGCCGCTTATCTCTGTACATACCAAGTTTTTGTGTACGACTTTTTGACGCCATTACATTGGTTAATCGTTTGTGTTCTTTGAGGACCCGATGGTTGGCTCCATTTCGCTGTGGTAACGACGGTAAACCAAGATCAAAAAGATTACGAATGTACGGATTTTCACGAAGATGATGCCTCAATCCACTTCCTAGCACTGAGCACAAGAAGTTATAATAAAAGTGTCCAGCGCAAGATGATAACGTTAAAACTTCAGCGCCAAAGTTTATCGATGTTTCAGGGTAGTCACAGTGCACTACGGCCTCCACGAGTTCCCGAAAGGAATGACGTTGTTTCTTGAGATCACTTTTAGAGCGGTTTTTTGAGCTATCTTTAGCCAACTCACCAAGTAGACGGACAAGATCGCTGTAATAAGGACCTTTGAATTTATCATCAACTTCGTTTCGAATTCGTTCATAAATGACTGCTGAGGCTTCACCTGCTATTATACGAACATTCACATTTGAACATTGAAGTAAAGAGAGTAAAACAGGAAGCACGGCTTTTCCAACATTACCAGAGTCGTATGGTGATAGAAAAGTGTATATTAATGTCCAGGCTTTAAGTGCTGCAACATAAAGATCAAAAATATCAGCTTCAATCTTCGAAGTAGAGCTTTTGAATACAAATTCAAATGATTTTATAACATCTAATGGTGAGATAAAGTCACAATAGCCTGACAAAGACTGCAGTACTGAAAGAGCTATAGCTGAAGACGCTCTGAATTTAGGATTTTTGGTGGAATCACGAATGACAGGTTCTAAAATAGGAAAGAACCTTTCGAACCATATGGGAACTTCATGTGGATCAATTTGTAGAGAGAATATGGTCAGTAAATCTGCAGCTAGTGCCTGATCCTGTGGTTTACTCTTTTTGAAAATATTTTCAATGCTGGTTATCAGAGTTTCAGTGTAGTTCCAAGAGCCATCCAAACAGAAATAATGTGAACGAAAAAACTCAATTAATGAACGTATTGCGTTAATTCGAGTCTCCGTTCTCTTCTCTTCCATTAGATCGATTGCTGAGCAAACTTTATCAAGAAGCGATTCCAAGGCCAATCCATCTTCAACCTAAAACAATGAAAAAGTGGTTAACGGGAATTCATATTACTGACAAGTAGAAAACTAAGTCAAGATATGAATGTTATTTATCAAGTCCATGTTTAAGCACAAGGTATTAGGGCACGACTTGGATTTAGGCTACTGGTATTACTCGCCTGTTTAAACCGAAGCCAGTTGTATTCAAATAAGAGACTTATTGGAGGATACCACTTGGTTGTTCAAACTAAAATACGGAATTTTGAACGTATGACAACAATAAAAACACTATTTTGACTAATTCGCTTTAGATCTAGTTGATTTGCTGTGTACCGATATAAAACGAAGTAACGCATTACATTGAGTAATCATGATATTCCCAACACTATCCGTGAAGTGTTAGTAACTAAGCATAAATTGTCTGATTGCTTCACCAGTGCGTGTACAACCCTATATATCAATCCAGAGATGAGTTCGGTTTCCGGTAGTTATTCACATGAAAAAGATGTACCAAAACCATTCCACATATAATCTATTATAGATTATAGCATACTACGACAATCACCATGGAAAGGATAGAAATATTTCCGCAAACACGAAGCGCCTTAGAAGCTAAGTATTACTATTTATTTGTATATACTGGCATCACTTGTCAACATAAAAGGGCTGTATTATACTTCAAGTCAGAATCTACACTTAAATGTTTAACTGAATAATCCAAAAAAGTAGAAAGTTGAAGGGAAAATGTCACAATCAAGAAAGCTTGATAAAACTGAATGAGAATGGACACTTAACAATCATGACAAACAAATTAGATAAACTCCCCAGTTACAATCAACTTACGATGAAATGAGCACAACTGAATTGAATCAGTTTATTGTGAGGACAGTACTTTTAATTTATAGTGGAGAAGAAATATACATATTTTACAAATTATTTAAGTAAACCAAAACAATTGGCAATTATAACATACATTCTTGACTAGACATGGAACTTATGGACAGAATTTGGCAGTTTCTCCCACACAAATAAAGACAGGTATTATTTTAATGCTCAATTTAATTTAGTGACGTATGACTGGATCACCATCGATAAACACACGAAACAAACCAATACCAGCTGTTACATTTGTGAAAATCACTCCATTTTATTTTAAAAACCTGAAGACTTCTTTGTTGCTTGGACAGCTAAAACCTTCTAGAGATTGACGAGAAACTATTGATTTGGAAGACTTCGCGATACCTAGTGCATAGACAGACGGGTTATAAGTAGCTGCCCAACATCAAAATAATGAACTTGTTTGCCTGGTACTGCTTGGTCGCCAACCATATGTCTAGATACTAATCACCTCAAGTGGTCTACGTTGATGTCTGCCCAAACATTAAAAGATGAGACGGATCGAATATGAAACCCAATAGTCGGCAATAAAGAACCCTGACCAATCCGCCATGTCCTAGATATCCATTGCCAAGTGGCAATTTGAATGAACGATTTGAGAATATTCCAAACTACTAAGTCCAATCATGGTGTCTCAGCCTTTTCAATGTATGAATTTGATAAGAGTTGAAGATTTTATTACCCTTGAAGGTTTACCTATGGGATGTTTATCATGACTTATTTCCATTCATTTGAACACATATATCGGTACGAGGGGGCACCAGATACATGTGCGCTACACAATTCTCATTTGATTTTTGTGTGAGGGCTGTGATACTGCCCGGGTGCCCAAACCAAGGGCACATCAGGGACCTTCGGCCTAAAGGTCTGATCCACAAGGCAGTGGAACTACGTCAGAAGATGCAGTCCCACAGTAGCCAGCCACCAACGATTCGCTCGTACGCCATTCGTTCTCTCGGGATACTGAATCCCATGTGCACCATTGGTTTGAAATCAAGGTTTTCCAACTCCCCGCGTCCACCAACCTGGTTATACCGCCGGACATTCGCTTTTCGGCCTCTTCATTTTGTGAACAACACTCCCGCCACGAGAAGGCAGTGAGTAGGACTTCCCTGACAGAGGCTGTATATACGTGGCCATGTGAGAAAATTCCGAGAGCAGACTCTCCCCACTCCCTGCCGTACCAGGGCATTTGAGGAATGTTTAACTGGAAAAGCACGCGCAACTTTGGTAACCCTAGGTATTAGTAGACGATGTGAGACTACACTTGGAACAAAGGATGTTTCTGCTTTAAATAGCATGAATATACCAAATCAAGGCGTGACAAAGGATAAATGATAATCTCATTTGTTGATTAAGTAGGTAAACCCCTCGAACTGCTCACATCCTTACTGCAATAAGAGAGATGACCTAGTATTGACTTATCGTCCGCTGAACAACAATTAACGTACTGATAGGTCTTCAAGATAATCAAAATTCATCCCAAGATTGCAGACTTTAAGTAAAAAAACTGACACGATTCACAGTGCAATCATGGTCGGTTTGCTTGTCGTACATTCAGCCTTCGATAATATCAAGGAATAATAACCACATCAACAAACACTGATGCCGAGGTCTAGATCCAGAACACAGTAATTTTGAAACTTTATGAGGATGCAAAATTAGAATGTAAATGATTAAAGCCCGAAAGTAGGAGTTTCGTAACACTTACATCAATCGACGAGGCATTTGGAGTCTCACTGCCGTCACTAGGAAGGCTAACAACACTAGCCAACTCCAATGAATCTGACTGATCGACCAGAACTAAAGTTAAATATCATGACAAAAAAGGCCTGCATTTACCTTTTTTCTCTTTAACTTTTTTCTTTGGCATTTCCTGTTAGATAGTTATCCCTTTTCGATTGGAATACGAAATTGATATCAACCTCCGAAGGACAAACACAAAGTCACTCATAACGCACTTCCACCGCATTTATGCAACCCGCGAATTCCCAGCGACAAAGCGTAAAAACAATGGAAGAGATATATACACTAAAGTCGATCCTGAGTGTCTTGGACATTGGGATCAACTCATCTATTAGTCCGTTGAAAGATGAAACAAAGCGGTTTACGTGTTCGATTCTCACTGAAAATAACACACCAAACTGCTCTGAAGTTTAGCTAGTAGTTAACTTTTGTACGTTTTTGGAGATCTAGACCTCCTTCATGCCATGCGAATCGCGATGAATATATTCTATTATAGTGAACGAATGCTTTCTGTAAGAAATATACTGCTCTATGCCCTTCAGATACAACAGAACGGCGGTGAATCCTATTCCTGATGCCATGACGTACTACTACCCCTTGATCATTATGAGACAAGTCTAAAGGCCCTGAACCCTTCCTTGTTTCTTAGATATCGTTACTCACGTATTCAATGCTCATGTAGATATACTTGACGGCAGTGATAGGCAATAACCACAATTTATACCAGCTTACTGGAAAGTCTAGGTTATCCTGTGCTGTACGTGCATCATTCTTGACTTCTACCCAGATTTTTGTGTCATAACCTCACGGCAAAGCACGAAGTAACAGTACTTCCTCACGTGCAACATTTTGTTGTAAGTATTTCTGAATCGTTATTTCTTAGTTTTGTGGAGAAAATTGGTAATTTTGTTGGTTTCCGTGCATTTCGAACAGTTTTAGATCATATTTTATGGTTGATGTCACAGGTATTCAGTGTTTGACAACGCTTCTACCAGTAACACCTAATTATTTCGTTCCCACCCAGAGAAATCAAAAGACAGAGTCGAGGAGATCGGAAGAGTATATTTGCCGATGACCAATATATCGGAATTCTCTGATCTAATCTGGCTAGCGATTGCGGTTGATGTTGAGCACGGCGTTCCCACACATGATCTAGTGCGGATGCATGACCGAGCGCCTTCAGCTAGATGAGTCCACTAAAACATACGGTCAGCATCCAATGTCGAAAACTTACAGAGCCATTTATTTCGGGGACTTATTTACGCTACAGATCACTCCCCCCCTAGTGGGGCAGTGACGACCCTAAGACGTGGCCAGCCAGAAGTTTAAACCCAGCGAGTTTGTCGTTGGTAAACACTCTTCTGATAGCTTACTAAGTGTAGCAGCGTCTGGTCGTCTTTCCTTACTATATGGGACCGAGGTACAACATAGCGAAAAAATAAAAAGTTACAACGAAAATTTCGACTCCTCGTAAACGTCATCGTTCCTTTCCAGCCGTCCTGTAAAAGGAAAAAGAAAGTGTAAGTGTATGACGAAATACACTCGTATGTGCGTAAAAACACAATGTCGGCGAAAAAAATGGAAAATAAACTCAAGCACACGTAATAGCGTTAAAAAAATATTTTTTTGTTGTTTTTAAATAAAAATAAAAATATATAAGCATATTAAAATTGTTTTTTTTAAACTAAATTATATATCGTAAAAAGAAAAATCGAGATAATATAAAATGTCGAGTAGTGCTTTACGTGCAGTAGTCGTTTAAATGTTCTGGAAATCTTACTCTTCTTCCAGAACGCGTTGTTCTAAGTTTATTTTCAGATACATTTGGAGTATCATCGCTCGTGTTGGTTGTCGGTTGAGGAATTATGAGTGTAGGAGTCGTGTTGTGCGATTGTACCGAAAGAAAGTCGACGTGAATAGGATTTCCTTCTAAATACGCTGCTTTTAAGCGATCGATGCTGATGCTATCGTTTGTTCCTTTCTTATCGACTATATAGTACTTAGATTCACGTTGAAGAACTTTGAAGGGTCCTTCGTATGCTGATTCGAATGGTCGTCGATGCGAGTCTCGACGAACGAAAACGTGTGTACTATATCGTAAGTCCGGTTGAACGAAAACATCGGTTGATTTTGCATTTTGCATTTTGCGAACCAAAAAATGTTGTAATTTATAGATCATGCCTGTAAAAACGGTGTGTACCTGCACATGCAGAAATATATTATTATTATTATTGTGGTCGAGTGGAAGCAGGTTTAACTGAACGCATTGCGTTTGTAAGCCTGTTCATGTAGGAGGTTAGATCCATGTTCATTGAAGAGGATGAAGGATCCACGAATTCTTCTGGAAGTCGAAGTGTCGTTCCATAAACGAGTTGAGTCGCAGTGTATCCAATGTCAGCTTTCACTGCATTGCGGATACCTAGTTAGATGAGTGGAAGAGCGTCGGTCCACTGTGAAACGTTTGCAGCTGATAGTGAAGCTTTTAGTTGTCGGTGAAAACGTTCTACCAACCCGTTTGCTTGTGGATGGTAGGCGGTCGTTCGGAAGCGAGTGATTCCTAATAGTGTGGTCAGACGACGGAAACGTTCAGACTCAAACTGACGTCCGCGGTCTGTGGTGATGGTTGAAGGGCAACCGAAGTTTGCTACCCATCGTTCGACGAAGGTGCGAGCCACTGTTTCAGCAGTGATGTCATCGAGTGAAACGGTCTACGCAGGTTTAGAGGTAAGAGTATCCATTTGAATCTGGTAAAGGTCCTACCAAATCCAAATGAACATGGTCGAAACGAGCATCGGGAGTTTTAAATGAGCCTAAAGGACATTTATTGTGTCTGATAACCTTAGATTTTTGGCAGCTTACACAGGAGCGTGCCCACTCCCTCACGTCTTTATTCATTCCAGGCCAGCAAAACCTTTCTGCTATAAGCTTGATGGTTTCACGAACACCTGGATGCGAAAGTTTGTGCAATGTGTTGAAGACATTGCGTCGATAATGTTTCGGCACGATTGGGCGATCCCTACCTGCAGATGTGTCACAAAGTAAGGTTTCCTTACCTGTTCCCATCTGTTTGATGCGTAGTTTAAGGGTTGTGGACGATAACTCGTGTTGAAGATCAGTGTCTTCTTTTTGAAGCTGGGCGAGTTTAAGAAGGTCGATTCCTTGGAAACTGTTCAAGGAAGTTATGCGAGATAAGGCGTCTGCAACTACATTGTTTGCTCCAGAGATGTGTTGAATATCTGAAGTAAACTGCGAAATGTAGTCCAGTTGTCGAGACTCACGGGGAGAGTACTTGTCAGAAGGAGAGCTTAACGAGAAAGTGAGCGGTTTATGGTCCGTGAAAAGAGTGAATTCACGGCCTTCGATATAGTGTTGGAAATGCCGTACAGCACAATACATAGCTAGGAGTTCCCTACCGAATGTGCTGTGCCTTGATTCGGTGTCTAGCAACCTTCTAGAGAAAAATGCCAAGGGTTGCCAGGAGTTCTTGACCGATTGTTGTAAGACTCCTCCGATTGCCGAGTCCGATGCGTCTACTGCGATACTAATGGGTGCTTCGGTGTCCTGATGTGCGAGCATTGTTGCTTTAGCGATCAGTTCCTTAACTGTGGAGAATGCTTTTCGTGCGGTGTCGTCCAAATTAATGGATTTCGCATTTCCACGAAGTTGGTCGGTAAGAGGTTTCATAAGTAATGCGCATTTCGGTATGAAACGTCTATAGAAACTTACAAGGCCGTTAAACGTGCGTAATTGCTTGACGGTGGTCAGTTCTGGGTAATCCAGAATGGCCGCCACTTTGGTTCTAAGGGGTCGGATACCTTGAGCATCGATAGTGTGTCCCAGAAAGTCTAACAAGTCGGTTCCAATTTGGCATTTCTGAACGTTTATAGTAATGCCATGTTTTTGAAGTCGTTCGAAAACAAGATCCAGATGCTTGAGATGTGTTTCTCTGTCCGGACTTGCGATTAGACAGTCATCAACATACGCATGTACGAAGTTGAGACCTCGAAAAACGTCGTCTATGAATCTTTGGGATGTTTGAGCAGCGTTCCTTAGACCGAAAGGCATTCGCAAAAATTCATAGAGTCTGAAAGGAGTTATGATAGCTGTTTTCGGTATGTCGTCAGTAGCCATAGGGATTTGGTTATACGCTTTAACCAAGTCGATTTTCGAAAAGACATTTGTGTCTTTCAAGGTAGCTGTCAAATCGTGAATGTGAGGCAACGGGTAACGATCGGGAATGGTTTTTGCATTCAGTCGCCGATAGTCACTGGCTGGACGCCAATCGTTGCTGTCCTTCTTAAGGACCATGTGCAACGGAGATGCATATGGGCTATTTGACGGTCGTATGATTCCTAAGTCTATCATATGGTCGAACTCGTTTTTCGCTAACCTTAGCTTTTTAGGAGCTATTCGTCGTGCTTTAGAGAATACAGGTGGTCCTGTAGTCGTGATGTGACGTGTAACATTGCTGGTTACACACGGTAGTTTCGGTTGAGTTTGTTGTATCCCAGGGTACATATCGAGTAGTGGTTGATAGAGTGGGTCTATCATATGTTTAATTGTGACTGGGGATAATTTGCAACCAGTAAAAGAAGTTACGCAAACGGATAAATTAGTGTTTCCGTCTACTAGCCTCCGTTTGCGCGTATCGATGGTCACATTATGGTGTTGTAGAAGGTCCATACCAATGATTGGCATAGAAACATCTGCAACAACGAAAATCCAGTGAATGGGTTTGCGTAAACCCACGTTAAGGTAAACGTACCTTTTGCCATACGTAGCGATCGGTTTTCCGTTTGCCGCCTGTCGTTAGGATTTGCTGGGAGAACGCTAACTTCTGCGCCAGTGTCGACGAGGTAGCGAACTGTCGTTGTCACACCTGTGACGTATGACAGACGGCTTTGTTCGCCGGCTACGGTTGCCGTTAACGCGTGCCGGCTTGGAAGTTTTCCGAGTTGTTTTTCGAGTCAGTCGGTTTCGTGTTGGGAAAATTGCAGAGTTTTCTGCATTTTCTGGAAGACTTGTAGTGACATTAGATCATAATCACATAATCTTCAAAGCTGAACACAAGACTACTCAAAATAGATATTCAATATTTAACGCGGAGAAATACCTAACAATAAAGAAGGCGCGGAGAATGAATTGAAGGGACTGGAGTCGATCGAGTGGCATGGCTCGGCCATGCAGGCGTGGTCTCTGCTGAATGTTACCTTATATCTTCTATTCATATTAAATATATTGTTCTTTCTCTAGCCTAACCTTGTTCTACATCATGTATTGGTAATTGATACGATACAGTCAGTTGGTGTAGTCGATGGTGTGACTTCCACGTAAGATCTTATAGATTAGGCAGTTATATCATGACAAATCTACA